CCACCAGCTATGTAGGAATACCCTATCTTGTTTATAAGAGCTTTGATACATGCAAAATATTCGAAAACAATGTCCGAACATATAATTTTCGCCCCGTAATATAGCAAAGATCACGAAAAGCCCCGAAAAAGTACATTAAGGTCAAAAGTTGGAGTAAAAAAAAAACACAATAAAAGAATTCCATTTTCCTTCCTCATTCATCGGAGAGATCTCTTTGGGCTTTCCGAAAAGGTATCACATGCCAAGTTTGGCCTCACGGTCTAAAAGTTCTAGAGTCATACATTTTTAACAAAAAAAAGAAGAGAAAAACCGAAAAAAAAGAGGGATGCAACACGAGGACTTTCCTGGAGGTCACCCATACTAGTACTACTCTCGCCCAAGCACGCTTAACTGCGGAGTTCTGATGGGATCCGGGCCATTAGTGCTGGTATGATTGCATCTGTTACTAAATGCAATGCAATCGTATCTATTCTTTTTTGAAGACTTTATAATCCATTTGCCCAGGGTCCCACCATCTATGTAGGAATACCCTTTCTTGTTTATAAGAGCTTTGATACATACAAAATATTCGAAAACAATGTCTAGACATATAATTTTCGCCACGTAATATAGCACAGATCACGAAAAGGCCCGAAAAAGTACATTAAGGTCAAAATTTGGAGTAGAAAAGAAAACCAATAGAAGAATTCCATTTTCCTTCCTCATTCATTTGAGAGATCTCTTTGGGCTTTCCGAAAAGGTATCACATGCCAAGTTTGGCCTCACGGTCTAAAAGTTCTAGAGTCATACATTTTTAACAAAAAAAAGAAGAGAAAAACCGAAAAAAAAGAGGGATGCAACACGAGGACTTTCCTGGAGGTCACCCATACTAGTACTACTCTCGCCCAAGCACGCTTAACTGCGGAGTTCTGATGGGATCCGGGCCATTAGTGCTGGTATGATTGCATCTGTTACTAAATGCAATGCAATCGTATCTATTCTTTTTTGAAGACTTTATAATCCATTTGCCGTGGGTCCCACCATCTATGTAGGAATACCCTTTCTTGTTTATAAGAGCTTTGATACATGCAAAATATTCGAAAACAAAATCCGAACATATAATTTTCGCCCCGTAATATAGCAAAGATCGCAAAAGGCCCGAAAAATTACATTAAGGTCAAAATTTGGAGTAGAAAAAAAAACCATAGAAGAATTCCATTTTCCTTCCTCATTCATCGGAGAACTCTCTTTGGGCTTTCCGAAAAGGTATCACATGCCAAGTTTGGCCTCACGGTCTAAAAGTTCTATAGTCATACATTTTTAACAAAAAAAAAAAAAAAAAAAACCCGAAAAAAAGAGGGATGCAACACAAGGACTTTCCTGGAGGTCACCCATCCTAATACTACTCTCGCCCAAGCACGCTTAACTGCGGAGTTCTGATGGGATCCGGTGCATTAGTGCTGGTATGATCGCATCTGTTACTACATGCAATGCAATCGTATCTATTCTTTTTTGAAGACTTTATGATCCATTTGCCGTGGGTCCCACCATCTATGTAGGAATACCCTATCTTGTTTATAAGAGCTTTGATACATGCAAAATATTCGAAAACAATGTGCGAACATATAATTTTTGCCCCGTAATATAACAAAGATCGCGAAAAGGCCCGAAAAATTACATTAAGGTCAAAATTTGGAGTAGAAAAAAAAAACAATAGAAGAATTCCATTTTCCTTCCTCATTCATCGAAGAACTCTCTTTGGGCTTTCCGAAAAGGTATTACATGCCAAGTTTGGCCTCACAGTCTAAAAGTTCTAGAGTAATACATTTTTAACAAAAAAAAAAAAAAAAAAAACCCGGAAAAAAGAGGGATGCAACACAAGGACTTTCCTGGAGGTCACCCATCCTAATACAACTCTCGCCCAAGCATGCTTAACTGCGGAGTTCTGATGGGATCCGGTGCATTAGTGCTGGTATGATCGCATCTGTTACTACATGCAATGCAATCGTATCTATTCTTTTTTGAAGACTTTATGATCCATTTGCCGTGGGTCCCACCATCTATGTAGGAATACCCTTTCTTGTTTAGAAGAGTTTTGATACATGCTAAATATTCGAAAACAATGTCCGAACATATAATTTTCGCCCCGTAATATAGCAAAGATCACGAAAACGCCCAAAAAAGTACATTAAGGTCAAAATTTGGAGTAGAAAACAAAAACAATAGAAGAATTACATTTTCCTTCCTCACTCATTGGAGAGCTCTCTTTGGGTTTTCCGAAAACGTATTACATACCAAGTTTGGCCTCACGGTCTAAAAGTTCTAGAGTCATACATTTTTAACAAAAAAAAAAAAAAAAAAACAGAAACAGAGGGATGCAACATGAGGACTTTCCTGGAGGTCACCCATCCTAGTACTACTCTCGCCCAAGCACGCTTAACTGCGAAGTTTTGATGGGATATGGTGCATTAGTGCTGGTATGATCGCATTCGTTACTACATGCAATGCAATCGTATCTATTCTTTTTTGAAAACTTTATGATCGATTTGTCGTGGGTCCCACCAGCTATGTAGGAATACCCTATCTTGTTTATAAGAGCTTTGATACATGCAACGAAAACAATGTGCGAACATATAATTTTCGCCCCGTAATATAGCAAAGATTGCAAAAAGGCCCGAAAAATTACATTAAGGTCAAAATTTGGAGTAGAAAAAAAAACAATAGAAGAATTCCATTTTCCTTCCTCATTCATCGGAGAACTCTCTTTGGGCTTTCCGAAAAGGTATCACATGCCAAGTTTGGCCTCACGGTCTAAAAGTTCTAGAGTCATACATTTTTAACAAAAAAAAAAAAAAAAAAAACCCGAAAAAAAGAGGGATGCAACACAAGGACTTTTCTGGAGGTCACCCATCCTAATACCACTCTCGCCCAAGCAGGCTTAACTGCGGAGTTCTGATGGGATCCGGTGCATTAGTGCTAGTATGATCGCATATGTTACTACATGCAATTCAATCGTATCTATTCTTTTTTGAAGAAATTATGATCCATTTGCCGTGGGTCCCTCCATCTATGTAGGAATACCCTTTCTTGTTTAGAAGAGCTTTGATACATGCTAAATATTCGAAAACAATGTGCGAACATATAATTTTCACCCCGTAATATAGCAAAGATCGCAAAAGGCCCGAAAAATTATATTAAGGTCAAAATTTGGAGTAGAAAAAAAAAACCATAGAAGAATTCCATTTTCCTTCCTCATTCATCGGAGAACTCTCTTTGGGCTTTCCGAAAAGGTATCACATGCCAAGTTTGGCCTCACGGTCTAAAAGTTCTATAGTCATACATTTTTAACAAAAAAAAAAAAAAAAAAACCCGAAAAAAAGAGGGATGCAACACAAGGACTTTCCTGGAGGTCACCCATCCTAATACTACTCTCGCCCAAGCACGCTTAACTGCGGAGTTCTGATGGGATCCGGTGCATTAGTGCTGGTATGATCGCATCTGTTACTACATGCAATGCCATCGTATCTATTCTTTTTTGAAGACTTTATGATCCATTTGCCGTGGGTCCCACCATCTATGTAGGAATACCCTATCTTGTTTATAAGAGCTTTGATACATGCAAAATATTCGAAAACAATGTGCGAACATATAATTTTCGCCCCGTAATATAACAAAGATCGCGAAAAGGCCCGAAAAATTACATTAAGGTCAAAATTTGAAGTAGAAAAAAAAAACAATAGAAGAATTTCATTTTCCTTCCTCATTCATCGAAGAACTCTCTTTGGGCTTTCCGAAAAGGTATTACAAGCCAAGTTTGGCCTCATAGTCTAAAAGTTCTAGAGTAATACATTTTTAACAAAAAAAAAAAAAAAAAACCCGGAAAAAGAGGGATGCAACATAAGGACTTTCCTGGAGGTCACCTATCCTAATACAACTCTCGCCCAAGCATGCTTAACTGCGGAGTTCTGATGGGATCCGGTGCATTAGTGCTGGTATGATCGCATCTGTTACTACATGCAATGCAATCGTATCTATTCTTTTTTGAAGACTTTATGATCCATTTGCCGTGGGTCCCACCATCTATGTAGGAATACCCTTTCTTGTTTAGAAGAGTTTTGATACATGCTAAATATTCGAAAACAATGTCCGAACATATAATTTTCGCCCCGTAATATAGCAAAGATCACGAAAACGCCCAAAAAAGTACATTAAGGTCAAAATTTGGAGTAGAAAACAAAAACAATAGAAGAATTACATTTTCCTTCCTCACTCATTGGAGAGCTCTCTTTGGGTTTTCCGAAAACGTATTACATACCAAGTTTGGCCTCACGGTCTAAAAGTTCTAGAGTCATACATTTTTAACAAAAAAAAAAAAAAAAAACAGAAACAGAGGGATGCAACATGAGGACTTTCCTGGAGGTCACCCATCCTAGTACTACTCTCGCCCAAGCACGCTTAACTGCGAAGTTTTGATGGGATATGGTGCATTAGTGCTGGAATGATCGCATTCGTTACTACATGCAATGCAATCGTATCTATTCTTTTTTGAAAACTTTATGATCGATTTGTCGTGGGTCCCACCAGCTATGTAGGAATACCCTATCTTGTTTATAAGAGCTTTGATACATGCAACGAAAACAATGTGCGAACATATAATTTTCGCCCCGTAATATAGCAAAGATTGCAAAAAGGCCCGAAAAATTACATTAAGGTCAAAATTTGGAGTAGAAAAAAAAAACAATAGAAGAATTCCATTTTCCTTCCTCATTCATCGGAGAACTCTCTTTGGGCTTTCCGAAAAGGTATCACATGCCAAGTTTGGCCTCACGGTCTAAAAGTTCTAGAGTCATACATTTTTAACAAAAAAAAAAAAAAAAAAACCCGAAAAAAAGAGGGATGCAACACAAGGACTTTTCTGGAGGTCACCCATCCTAATACCACTCTCGCCCAAGCAGGCTTAACTGCGGAGTTCTGATGGGATCCGGTGCATTAGTGCTGGTATGATCGCATATGTTACTACATGCAATTCAATCGTATCTATTCTTTTTTGAAGAAATTATGATCCATTTGCCGTGGGTCCCTCCATCTATGTAGGAATACCCTTTCTTGTTTAGAAGAGCTTTGATACATGCTAAATATTCGAAAACAATGTGCGAACATATAATTTTCACCCCGTAATATAGCAAAGATCGCAAAAGGCCCGAAAAATTACATTAAGGTCAAAATTTGGAGTAGAAAAAAAAAACCATAGAAGAATTCCATTTTCCTTCCTCATTCATCGGAGAACTCTCTTTGGGCTTTCCGAAAAGGTATCACATGCCAAGTTTGGCCTCACGGTCTAAAAGTTCTAGAGTCATACATTTTTAACAAAAAAAAAAAAAAAAAAAACCCGAAAAAAAGAGGGATGCAACAGAAGGACTTTCCTGGAGGTCACCCATCCTAATACTACTCTCGCCCAAGCACGCTTAACTGCGGAGTTCTGATGGGATCCGGTGCATTAGTGCTGGTATGATCGCATCTGTTACTACATGCAATGCAATCGTATCTATTCTTTTTTGAAGACTTTATGATCCATTTGCCGTGGGTCCCACCATCTATGTAGGAATACCCTATCTTGTTTATAAGAGCTTTGATACATGCAAAATATTCGAAAACAATGTGCGAACATATAATTTTCGCCCCGTAATATAACAAAGATCGCGAAAAGGCCCGAAAAATTACATTAAGGTCAAAATTTGAAGTAGAAAAAAAAAACAATAGAAGAATTCCATTTTCCTTCCTCATTCATCGAAGAACTCTCTTTGGGCTTTCCGAAAAGGTATTACATGCCAAGTTTGGCCTCATAGTCTAAAAGTTCTAGAGTAATACATTTTTAACAAAAAAAAAAAAAAAAAAACCCGGAAAAAAGAGGGATGCAACACAAGGACTTTCCTGGAGGTCACCCATCCTAATACAACTCTCGCCCAAGCATGCTTAACTGCGGAGTTCTGATGGGATCCGGTGCATTAGTGCTGGTATGATCGCATCTGTTACTACATGCAATGCAATCGTATCTATTCTTTTTTGAAGACTTTATGATCCATTTGCCGTGGGTCCCACCATCTATGTAGGAATACCCTTTCTTGTTTAGAAGAGTTTTGATACATGCTAAATATTCGAAAACAATGTCCGAACATATAATTTTCGCCCCGTAATATAGCAAAGATCACGAAAACGCCCAAAAAAGTACATTAAGGTCAAAATTTGGAGTAGAAAACAAAAACAATAGAAGAATTACATTTTCCTTCCTCACTCATTGGAGAGCTCTCTTTGGGTTTTCCGAAAACGTATTACATACCAAGTTTGGCCTCACGGTTTAAAAGTTCTAGAGTCATACATTTTTAACAAAAAAAAAAAAAAAAAACAGAAACAGAGGGATGCAACATGAGGACTTTCCTGGAGGTCACCCATCCTAGTACTACTCTCGCCCAAGCATGCTTAACGGCGAAGTTTTGATGGGATATGGTGCATTAGTGCTGGTATGATCGCATTCGTTACTACATGCAATGCAATCGTATCTATTCTTTTTTGAAAACTTTATGATCGATTTGTCGTGGGTCCCACCAGCTATGTAGGAATACCCTATCTTGTTTATAAGAGCTTTGATACATGCAACGAAAACAATGTGCGAACATATAATTTTCGCCCCCTAATATAGCAAAGATCGCAAAAAGTCCCAAAAAATTACATTAAGGTCAAAATTTGGAGTAGAAAAAAAAAACAATAGAAGAATTCCATTTTCCTTCCTCATTCATCGGAGAACTCTCTTTGGGCTTTCCGGAAAGGTATCACATGCCAACTTTGGCCTCACGGTCTAAAAGTTCTAGAGTCATACATTTTTAACAAAAAAAAAAAAAAAAAAAAAATCCGAAAAAAAGAGGGATGCAACACAAGGACTTTCCTGGAGGTCACCCATCCTAATACTACTCTCGCCCAAGCACGCTTAACTGCGGAGTTCTGATGGGATCCGGTGCATTAGTGCTGGTATGATCGCATCTGTTACTACATGCAATACAATCGTATCTATTCTTTTTTGAAGACTTTATGATCCATTTGCCGTGGGTCCCACCATCTATGTAGGAATACCCTTTCTTGTTTAGAAGAGCTTTGATACATGCTAAATATTCGAAAACAATGTCCGAACATATAATTTTCGCCCCGTAATATTGCAAAGATCACGAAAAGGCCCAAAAAAGTACATTAAGGTCAAAATTTGGAGTAGAAAACAAAAACAATAGAAGAATTACATTTTCCTTCCTCACTCAGTGGAGAGCTCTCTTTGGGTTTTCCGAAAACGTATTACATACCAAGTTTGGCCTCACGGTCTAAAAGTTCTAGAGTCATACATTTTTAACAAAAAAAAAAAAAAAAACAGAATCAGAGGGATGCAACATGAGGACTTTCCTGGAGGTCACCCATCCTAGTACTACTCTCGCCCAAGCACGCTTAACTGCGAAGTTTTGATGGGATATGGTGCATTAGTGCTGGTATGATCGCATTCGTTAATACATGCAATGCAATCGTATCTATTCCTTTTTGAAAACTTTATGATCGATTTGTCGTGGGTCCCACCAGCTATGTAGGAATACCCTATCTTGTTTATAAGAGCTTTGATACATGCAACGAAAACAATGTGCGAACATATAATTTTCGCCCCCTAATATAGCAAAGATCGCAAAAAGGCCCGAAAAATTACATTAAGGTCTAAATTTGGAGTAGAAAAAAAAACCAATAAAAGAATTCCATTTTCCTTCCTCATTCATCGGAGAACTCTCTTTGGGCTTTCCGAAAAGGTATCACATGCCAAGTTTGGCCTCACGGTCTAAAAGTTCTAGAGTCATACATTTTTAACAAAAAAAAAAAAAAAAAAAACCCGAAAAAAAGAGGGATGCAACACAAGGACTTTCGTGGAGGTCACCCATCCTAATATTACTCTCGCCCAAGCACGCTTAACTGCGGAGTTCTGATGGGATCCGGTGCATTAGTGCTGGTATGATTACATCTGTTACTACATGCAATGCAATCGTATATATTCTTTTTTGAAGACTTTATGATCCATTTGCTGTGGGTCCCACCATCTATGTAGGAATACCCTTTCTTGTTTATAAGAGCTTTGATACATGCTAAATATTCGAAAACAATGTCCGAACATATAATTTTCGCCCCGTAATATAGCAAAGATCACGAAAAGACTCGAAAAAGTACATTCAGGGCAAAATTTGGGGTAGAAAGAAAAGCAATAGAAGAATTCCATTTTCCTTCCTCATTCATCGGGAAGTTCTCTTTGGGCTTTCCGAAAATGTATCACAGGCTAAGTGTTTGGCCTTACGGTCTAAAAGTTCTAGAGTCATACATTTTTGACAAAAAAAGAAGAGAAAAACAGAAAAAAAGAGGGATGCAACACGTGGACTTTCCTGGAGGTCACCCATCCTAGTACTACTCTCGCCCAAGCACGCTTAACTGCGGAGTTCTAATAGGATCCGGTGCATTAGTGTTGGTATGATCGAATCTGTTACTACATGCAATGCAATCGTATATATTCTTTTTTGAAGACTTTTTGATCCATTTGCCGTGGGTCCTACCATCTATGTAGGAATACCCTTTCTTGTTTAGATGAGCTTTGATACATGCTAAATAATCGAAAACAATGTCCGAACATATAAATTTCGCCCCGTAATATAGCAAAGATCACGAAAAGGCCCGAAAAACTACATTAAGGTCAAAATTTGGAGTAGAAAAAAAAACGATAGAAGCATTCCAATTTCCTTCCTCATTCATTGGAAAGCTCTCTTTGGGCTTTCCGAAAGCGTATCACATACCAAGTTTGACCTCACGGTCTAAAAGTTCTAGTGTCATACATTTTTAACAAAAAAAAAAAAAAAACAGAAAAAGAGGGATGCAACATGAGAACTTTCCTGGAGGTCACCCATCCTAGTACTACTCTCGCCCAAGCACGCGTAACTGAAAAGTTTTGATGGGATCCGGAGCATTAGTGCTGGTATGATCGCATTCGTTACTACATGCAATGCAATCGTATCTATTCTTTTTTGAAAACTTTATATGATCGATTTGTCGTGGGTCCCACCAGCTATGTAGGAATACCCTATCTTGTTTAGAAGAGCTTTGATACATGCTAATATTCGAAAACACTGTCCGAACATATAATTTTCGCCCCGTAATATAGCAAAGATCACGAAAAGGCCCAAAAAAGTACATTAAAGTCAAAATTTGGAGTAGAAAAAAAAAACAATAGAAGAATTACATTTTCCTTCCTCACTCATGGGAGAACTCTCTTTGGGCTTTCCGAAAATATATCACATACCAAGTTTGGCCTCACGGTCTAAAATTTATAGAGTCATACATTTTTAACAAAAAAATAGAGAAAAACGAAAAAAGAGGGATGCAACACGAAGACTTTCCGAGAGGTCACCCATCCTAGTACTACTCTCGCCCAAGCACGCTTAACTGCAGAGTTCTGATGGGATCCGGTGCATTAATGTTGGTATGATCGCATTCGTTACTACATGCAATGCAATCGTATATATTCTTTTTTGAAGACTTTATGATCCATTTGCCGTGGGTCCCACCAGCTATGTAGGAATACCCTATCTTGTTTATAAGAGCTTTGATACATGCAAAATATTCGAAAACAATGTCCGAACATATAATTTTTGCCCCGTAGTATAGCAAAGATCACAAAAAGGCCTGAAAAGGTACATTAAGTTCAAAATTTGGAGTAGAAAAAAACAAATAGATGAATTCCATTGTGCTTCCTCATTCATCGGAGAGCTCTCTTTGGGCTTTCCAAAAAGGTATCACATGCCAAGTTTGGCCTCACGGTCTAAAATTTATGGTCATACATTTTTAACAAACAAAATAGAGAAAAACCGAAAAAAAGAGGGCTGCAACACGAGGACTTTGCGAGAGGTCACCCATCCTAGACCTACCCTCGCCAAGCACGCTTAACTGCAGAGTTCTGATGGGATCTGCAGCATTAATGCTGGTATGATCGCATCCGTTACTGCATGCAATGCAATCGTATCTATTCTTTTTTGAAGAATTTATGATCGATTTGCCGTGGGTCCCACCAGCTGGTAGGAATACCCTATCTTGTTTATAAGAGCTTTGATACATGCAAAATATTCAAAAACAATGTCCGAACATATAATTTTCGCCCCGTAGTATAGCAAAGATCACAAAAAGGCCTGAAAAAGTACATTAAGGTCAAAATTTAGAGTAGAAAACAAACAAATCGAAGAATTCCATTGTGCTTCCTCATTCATCGTAGAGCTCTCTTTAGGCTTTCCGAAAAGGTATAAGTTTGGCCACACGGTATAAAATTTATAGAGTCATACATTTTTAACACACAAAAGAAGAGAAAAACCGGAAAAAAAAGAGGGATGCAACACGAGGACTTTCCGGGAGGTCACCCATCCTAGTACTACTCTCCCCCAAGCACGCTTAACTGCGGAGTTCTGATGGGATCCGGTGCATTAGTGCTGGTATGATAGCATCCGTTACTACATGCAATGCAATCGTATCTATTCTTTTTTGAAGACATTATGATCCATTTTCCGTGGGTCCCATCAGCTATGTAGGAATACCCTATCTTGTTTCTAAGAGCTTTGATACATGCAAAATATTCGAAAACAATGTCCGAACATATAATTTTCGCCCCGTAATATAGCAAAGATCACTAAAAGGCACAAAAAATTATATTAAGGTCAAAATTTGGAGTAGAAAAAAAAACAATAGAAATTTCCATTTTGCTTCTTCATTCATTGGAGAGCTCTCTTTGGTCTTTTCAAAAAGGTATCACATGCTAAGTTTGGCCTCACGTCTAAAAGTTATAGAGTCATATATTTTTAACAAAACAAAAAAGAGAAAAACCAAAAAAAAGAGGGATGCAACACGAGGACTTTCCTGGAGGTCATCCATCCTAGTACAACTCTCGCTCAAGCACGCTTAACTGTGGAGTTTTGATGGGATCTGGTGCATTAGTGCTGGTATGATCGCATCTGTTGCAACATGCAATGCAATCGTATCTATTCTTTTAAAAAGACTTTATGATCCATTTGCCGTGGGTCCCACCAGCTATCTAGGAATACCCTATCTTGTTTATAAGAGCTTTCATACATGCAAAATATTGGAAAACAATGTTCGAACATATAATTTTTGCCCCGTAATATAGCAAAGATCAAGAAAAGGCCCGAAAAAGTACATTAAGGTCAAAATTTAGAGTTGAAAAAACACCAAGGGAATAATTCCATTGTCTTTCCTCATTCATTGGAGAGCTCTCTTTGGGATTTCCGAAAAGGTATCACATGCCAAGTTTGCCTCACGGTCTAAAATTTATAGAGTTATATATTTTTAACAAAAAAAATAGAAAAAAACCGAAAAAAAGAGGGCTGCAATACGAAGACTTTCCGAGAGGTCACCCATCCTAGTACTACTCTCGCCCAAGCACGCTTAACTTCAGAGTTCTGATGGGATCTAGTGCATTAATGCTGGTATGATCGCATCCGTTACTACATGCAATGCAATCGTATCTATTCTTTTTTGAAGACTTTATGATCCATTTGCGGTGGGTCCCACCAGCTATGTAGGAATACCCTATCTTGTTTATAAGAGCTTTGATACATGCCAAATATTCGAAAAAGATGTCCGAACATATAATTTTATCCCCGTAATAAAGCAAAGATCACGAAAAGGCCTAAAAAAGTACATTAAGGTCAAAATGTGGAGTAGAAAAGAAAAATAGAAGAATTCCATTGTGCTTCCTCATTCATCGGGGAGCTCTCTTTGGGCTTTCCGAAAATGTATCACATGCCAAGTTTGGCCTCACGGTCTAAAGGTCACACGGTCATACATTTTTAACAAAAAAAAAGAGAAAAACCAAAAAAAAAAAGAGGGATGCAACACGAGGACTTTCCGGGAAGTCACCCATACTAGTACTACTCTTGCCCAAGCACGCTTAACTGCGGAGTTCGATGGGATCCGCTGCATTAGTGCTGGTATGATAGCATTTGTTACTACATGCAATGCAATCGTATCTATTCTTTTTTGAAGACTTTATGATCCATTTGCTGTGGGTCCCACCAGCTATGTAGGAATACCCTATACTGTTTATAAGAGCTTTGATACATGCAAAATATTTGAAAACAATGTCCGAACATATAATTTTTGCCCCGTAATATAGCAAAGATCATGAAAAGGCCCGAAAAATTACATTAAGGTCAAAATTTGGAGTAGAAAAAAAAACAAATAGAAGAATTCCATTGTGCTTCCTCATTAATTGGAGAGCTCTCTTGGGGCTTTACGAAAAGGTATCACATGCCAAGTTTGGCCTCACGGTCTAAAATTTATAGAGTCATACATTTTTAACAAAAAAAATAGAGAAAAACCGAAAAAAGAAGAGGGATGTGATATGTCTATAATTTGCATGTTTAACACATCCTTTAATCACCATTTTGAGTCTAGTTTCATCCATCTTTCATAGCATTCACCATCTTTTTTGTACATTTTGCATCTTTAGTCGAGTCTAGGACTAGTCTTGCATACATTCTGCATTCTGGAGTTGTTTCAGGTGTTTTGGAGCTATTGGTGCTCAGAAAGAGGGAAAACAGAACAGAAAGTCACATTTCCACCAACATACTCGATCACCAGTAGCAGAGAGGGAAGCAGTCAGCTCAGCAGTCCATCCAGACACTTCCACTCGATCGTAGAGGAGACCAGGCAGTCCATTCTGCCAGATATACTCGACTACAGAGGAGAGGAGGCAGTCAATTCTACAATTCTACTCTATCGCAGAGGCGACCAGGCAGTCCACTTTGCTAGTCCACCAGTTATACTCGATCGCAGAGGAGAAGAACCAGTCCATCCTGACAGCTGACACACTTACTCGATCACAGAGGCCAAGAAGCAGCCCAGACCATTCCGTCAACCAACCTACTCGACCACCACCTCGACCCTCTGATCAATTCGCACTCAACCAGACAACCTGAGCATCGGAAAGAGAAGAGAAGAGAAGGCCCATTGAAGCCCATTCGAAGCCCATTAGAAGCCCATCAGGAAGCCCACTTTGAGCCGACACTCTTGATCACGCCGTCCATGGGCCGTTAAGTGGGCTCGAAGCCCGCTTTCTTATCTTAGTATAAATAAGTCTCTAACGGTTTCGCCCTGGGACATGCACTTTTTAGACACGAATTTCGCACTATTATTCAGCAGCCGCTTTTCATTCCTACAACTTTGTATTTCGATTTTTCTTCTAAGTTATTCAGATTTTGCTTTCATTTGCTTGTTCATCTTTTGTTTCTATGGTATTGTCTTTAAGCATGTTGTCTGAGTAGTGATTAGGATTTCTGAGGATGGGATAGACTAGTTATGGAACCCCTGGTCGAATATGTTGGTTAAGTGTAGATTTATTGAATCCCTTCTGGATTAGTTGTGTTTACTGCTTATTCCTTTCTGATCAACTGGAATCCGATCCCAGACGTTCCAGCGCCCAGAAGGCATTTAATGGAACGTTGGATCTACTAATTCGAGTGATAATCGTCTCTATCCCAAGGGATTGTCCGTTTAGAGCGGTTATTGGCTTTAACAGTCAGTTCTTATTGCCTGCTTAGTTAGATATCGCTAATGGGAATTAGGTCTGTGTCTAGCTATGCTTGAGGATTTCTATCACGGGAGTGAATTAATCTGTTGTTGAACCTGTTGTCTAAGGATAGCTTAATTGAGATTTGTTAACCAACTGAATTGATCAGGGAGACCACACTATTCGATTACCCCATCCTTAGGAATTTCTCATCCATTTGATTTCTCTGTTTACTTACCTGCTTCATTCACTTGCTATTGAATTTTAGTATTTTTCTGTTTTCAACCATTCTACTCGATCACACCAGTCTACTAACAGTGAGACTGCGTGATAGAGTAAACTGGTCCATTTCTGCATTTTCACACTCTCTCATCCTGTTGTACTCGATCACAGGGTCCCTTCTGGCAGTCGACCCTGC